TTCAGCCTCCCAAAGGCACGGGTTACAGGCTGAGCCACCGAGCCTGGCTCACTGTGTGTGTTTTATTGCAGGTCACATCGCGTGGGACCTGCCAGCACCTTGTGCCACATCGTCCCCCGTTGACCCATGAGCCTCAGTCATGGCCGATGCCATGTACGTCCTCTGCAGATGGGCCACGCGCCTGTGGCCTGCGAAGGTGACAGCACTCTTCTGTAATTTCAGGAATGAGAAACGACTTGGCATGACAAGTAAAGTCTTTATCAGGAGGTGGCTAGGAGCTGCTTCAGTGAAGCGCTGAGGCGGAACGATGGGTACCGAGGCCCGTCCCCGCTTAATGGGGTCTCGGTCTAGTGCTCACAAGGTTATACTTCTGGAAGTGTTTTTTTCTTCCTCGCTGAAAAGACAAAAATGAACCGAGTTGGTGATCCAGGCACATGGGCGCCGACTCCCATACCTGGCCAGGAGCCACATGGTAGTCGATGATGGCCGTATCCCGAGGGCCCCCTCCAGCAGTCGGGTGGACAGGGCTGGCCACCTTGGCGGAGCCAGGGTCTTGTCCTGCGCTGGCTGCTGCCCTCTCATACCTCGGTTTCCCCATCCATGAAACAAAGGCCGAGCGTCTCGGCTCCTGTGGCTGTGTACCTTCGGGACGTCTTTCCACACGTGTATGTCATCACTGTCCTTTGTTTTGTCTTGATAACATGGGTTTCTTTTTTTTTTCTTTAATAGGTTTTGACCAGAACTGAGGTATCAACAAAAAATAAGAGAAAAAAGGAATTTTTTCTGGATGTTCAAATACTCTCCCTAGAGGAAAAGTTAAGTGTTCCGTTTTTAAAAAAATACTATTTATTTTCTGTATGGATTTCGGGAATTCAGTTCCATGCTCCCTAAAAAAGTAAAGTGCCCTCTTAGGCACCTATTAACTGCTGAGTTACGATAGCTCACTCACGCCTGTGAGCACCTTGCAGGAAAAATGGTTGACTGGGCTTTATGTCTGGAGATGGAGAACCCTCAGCGTCCTGGGACTTCTGCTGAGAGGGTAGATGTGACTCACAGCCGCGTGACCTGTGGGGTGAGAGCAGGATCTTCCTTCCCAGAGACCCGTGTGTCTGTTTTTCTAGAAGCTTGTCTGACAGGCCTATCAATTTTGCAGTATTTGGTTTTTGAGCCTGTCACTCGAATTAAACTGTTATTCGGCATCCAGAGGCAAAATTGTCAGGCACGTGATTGTCTGCTCCTGAGTGTCTGCTGACAGACACTGGACTGTCTTGGGGCAGTGGCGACAGAGGTACTGGGTGGTTTGTGACTCCCCGGCTCTGAGGTGACCGGGAGATGCGTCCCTGGTCCCGAGTGACCCCGCTCCCTGTGTGGCGTTGCTGCCCGCTCCTTCTGCTGTCTTCAGAGCCTCCTCTGCCTCCTGCCTGTCCCCGTTCACACTTTCCCTGCGGCTGGGAAGGTAATTGAAACCGAGTTTAAAAGGAGCACACGTCCCTTTACACGGAAACCCACCTGCCGGGCTGTAAACAGCTTTTAGTGACATTATCATCCACTTGGAAAACCCAGCAGAGGAATTATTTGTGCAGTTGAAAGTAGGATTTGCCTCATAAAAGTCACAATTTGAATGCATTTTTACTCTCAAATCCAGCCAACCTTTTCTGTCTTAAAAGGAAAAATGAAAAACAAAAAACACGTCTACCAGGGCTCTCGCCGCCTCACCTCAGGCGGGTGAATTCCTAGGTGGCTGTGTCTTCTCATTTAAGAGAAAGGTTGAGGAAAATGAATTTCGTGCTTTTGTCATCTAAAGAAAGGCACATGTGAACGTGCCTGGCGGCAGAGGCTGGCGGCGCTAACGCTGGGCTCTGTCCCTGCAGAATTAGGGTGAAGAGCAGCGAGGTGGAGGCCCTGCGGGAGTCCCAGATCGAAGCCATCGCCAGCTCGCTAGGTGAGCGCGGGTCCCCCGTGGCCGCAGGCTCCGGAGAGTCGGAGCCAGTCTGGGAGCGGGTGGGGGTGCCGCTTCTGGGAGGGATGCGCCCTGTCCATTGTGCTCTTCACGTGAGGGGGCGTGGGTCCCCTGGGCGCGGGGAGAAGAAAAACACGGGTCCGCTGTCGTCGACCTCTGCAGAGTTTGCCCCCGAGCCAGCCGTGCTCTTGACGCGCAGAGCGGTTCGCGGGGCTTCAGGCCACCTTGCTGCCGTCGCTCGTGGCCTCCCCGTGGCCTCCAGTATCCCGGAGACACGGAAGGAGCTTGGCCCATGAGGGGGAGGTCTTGTCTTTTTCCTTGGCTCCTCCAGAAGTCGGACTTGTAAATGGTTCCTTTGCCACCCGGCGGGCTTGGTCTCTGCCTAGCACCGAGGAGGCTGTTGGTGGAGTGTTTAAAATTGCAGAGCGGACCCCGGGGAGAGCGCAGGCTGCCCAGGCCTGGCATGGATACTGCCGTGGGGGCTAGGCTGGGAGCGGGGCTGTCTGCTCCTGTGCCCTAGGAGGGCTTCCTCCAGGGCCTCACCCGACACCCACCCAGCTGTCATGTTATGGGTGACGCGGGCTTGGCCAGAGCCCTCTGGACCGGGTTGCATCCTGCGCGCCCACCTCGTTGCAGCTCGGTAAACCCAGATGTGGCATTTTTTCCTCAACCGAGTGGGTGTGTTTACTCCGTTTGTAAGTAACCACTGCCCTGCAGAGAGATGGGCCAGAGTTCCTCCCAAGCCTGTCTCCCGTGTGTCCCACAGCAGCCATTGTTCACGCAGAGGCCCTCACGGACCTTCACGGGCAGCTGTAGCGCAGGATGGCACCCTCCTCGGCGGCATGGGATGTGTCGGGGCCGGGTGTTTGTGGGCGCCTTTAATATTCAACAGGGAAGGCTGCTTTGGTGGAGGCATCATGCCCACTGAGTTACGATATTGCATCCGTCCTCTCGTTCAAATAAACCGCGCCATGACTCGATGTCAGAACGAATAAGCAAGGCTGGGCGGTTGGAAGGTCGGGCTGGAGACCAGAAACACAAGGTGCTCTGTCCTGGCTTTGAAATGCCCTTGCAGGGAGGATGGGACACTCCCCAGCTCACAATAGCTTTCTGACCGCTGCTGCCTGCCGCTCCCAGCCGTGGGCTCTTTATGTAGTTGGTGCTGGTCTTTATTGACCTGGATTGAGGTTGGAATTGTAAGGCCGAGGGGATTTGTGAAACATTTGAATGCGTTCTGCCCATGGTATTGTTTAGTGACTCGGAGGAATTTGTCCCTCCAGCCAATCAGGTTGAGGTCAGTAAATTTGTTTGATTAAAAAGCAAAGCCTCGGAGCCGAATGAATAGCTGAGGTTGGGTTGCCGGGTCCCCTCTGTGGGAAAACGTGGTGAGAAGCGGGAGTTCTGCCCTCCGCGTTCAGGTGCAAGAGCTGACGGGTGCCGACGGCTTCCTGGGCGCCGGGCCAGGCGTCGCTGGCATTGTCTGTTTCTGGTCCCTGCAGCCTCACAGGGGGAGACCTCTGCCACACCCTTGGAGGAGCTGACCTACCGGCGGGCACTCCGAGTGGCCCTGGACATCCTGCGGACGAGAGCCGGGGGGAGCCAGCAGAGCCCCTCGTGGACAGACAGGGCCGCCCCGGCCCCGCGCGAGACACAGACCCCGGCACCCACCTCGCTCCACGCCTCTGACGCTTCGTCCTCCCTCCGCGAAGATACGCCGGGCAGTCCTCGGCCCCCGGGAAGGGCGTGTGCACAGCATGGCCTGTCGAGTTTGCTCACTTGTGACGGGGACCCCGAGTGCGACGTGGACCCCAAGAAAGGGCTGAGGAAAAGCGAGGACCCCAGAGGCGCGCTGACGGCTTCTGCGGGAGGCGCATCTCGGGACAGCAGGGGGTCAGGAATGCGCCGTGGAGGCTGGACCGTGGCCAGGAAGCCAGGGGCACGTTTGGCCGTGCCCAGCACGGGCCGGCCAGGGGCGAGTGCGGAGAGAGAGGGCGAGGGCGGCGCTGGCCGCGGGAAGGCTGTGCCCCTGGCCCCCAGGGCCCGGGAGGAGGACCCGTGTGCCAATGCCGAAGGCCGCGACCCAGGCCTGCCGTCGGGCAGCCTCACCGTGCCCCCGGCCCGCGTGGAGGCCCGTGGACGCCCCGCG